TTGTATATATGAACCATAACTTTTTATCCAATCATCTGTCGATGGGCATTTAGGTTGCTTCCATATCTTGGCTATTGTAAATTGTGCTGCCATGAACATAGGGGTGCATAGACCTTTACGAATTATTGTTTTGGTTGTCTTTGGATAAATACCCAGAAGTCCAATTCTTAGGTCAAAAGGTATATCGTTTTTAACTTTTTGAGAAACTTCCAGACTGTTTTCCATAGAGGCTGTACCATTTTGCAATCCTACCAAGAATGTACGAGGGTTCCCTTTTCTCCACATCCTCACCAACACTTGTTATTCTTTGATATATTGATGATAGCCATTCTGACAGGTGTCAAGTGATATCTCATTGTGGTTTTAATTTGCATTTCTCTGATGATTAGTGACCTGGAGCATCTTTTCATATCTATTGGCCAATTGTATTTCCTCTTTAGAGAAATATCTGTTCAGGTCTTCTGCCCATTTTTTTAAATGGATTGTCTGGTTTTTTGTTGTTGAGTTGTATGAGCTCTTTATATATTTTGGATATTAACCTCCAGGCTGCTTTCCATAGTGACTACACAAATTTGCAAAACCACCAACAGTATATAAGGGCTCCCGTTTCTCCACATCCTCACCATTGATTTATTGATGATCGACAGATTTTTTTAAATTTATTTATTTTAATTAGTTTCAAGTATACAGTACAGTACATTGGTTAGACATCTATATAGTTCATAAAATGATCCCCCCAATTGTTCCCTCTCTTCCCTGACACTCTATCTAGTCAATATATTAATGCTAACTGCATTCCCTATGCTGTGCTCTCCATCTCCGTGACCATCTATCAGCTACTAATGTGTACTTCTTTAATCCTTCTCCCAATTTTCCCAGCCCCCTAAACCCCCCTCCCCTCTGTCTGTCACCAAATTGTCCACTATATTTGTGAGTCTGTTTTTAATTAGTTTGTTCTTTTTATTCCTTAGATTCCACATATGAGTGAAATCATATAGTGTTTATCTTTCTCTGTGTGAATTAAATACCTTCTAGGTCCATCCAAGCAATATCTTTTTCCATCCCCTTCTTTTTCATATGTAGGGGTCTTGTTTTCTTATCCTTTCAGCTACTCTATCTTTTGGTTGGAGCACTTAATTCTTTTCCATTTAAGGTACTTATTGATAAAAATGCAGTTGTTACCATTTTTATCTGTCCTTCAACTCTAAATGATAGCTTTGTTGGATAAATTATTCTGGATTGTAGATTCTGGGTCTTCATCCTGTAGAATATTTTTTGCCAAGCCCTTCTGTCCTGCATAGTTTCTTTTGAGAAATCGGTTGCCAGTCTTATGGGTCTTCCCTTGTAGGTAACTATCTATTTTTCTCTTGCTGCTTTTAATATTCTTTGTATTTAACCTTTGGCATTTTAATTATGATGTGTTTCTTGGTGCAGGCCTCTTTGGATCCCTGATTTTTAGAATTCTCTAAGCTTTCTGAGTTGTATGTGTATTTCCTTCACCAGGTTAGGGAAGTTTTCCATCATTATTTCTTCAAACAGCTGTTCAACATCTTGATTTTCTTCAGTTACACCGATCAGACAGATATTTGGGCCTTTAATAGTGTCTCATATGCTCCTTAAATTATTTTTGTATCTTGGCATCTTTTTTCTTGCCATTGTGATTGAGCGCCCTTGGCTTTCCCATCCTCTCGATAGGTCATTTGATCCTTTTCTTTATTCACTTTGTTTATTTCTTTGTTTATTCCATTTAATATACTTCTCATTTCAGATAATGTGTTCTTCATTTCAGACTGGTTCCCTTTTATAATTTCCGCTTCCATTTTTATATTTTTTATCTCTTTGTAGAAGTTTTCACTGAATTCATCTACAGTTCCCAAAAGTTCGTTGAGCATCTTTATAACCAGTGTTTTGAACTTTGCATCTGTTAGATTACTTGACTCCATTATATCTGGATCTCTGTTCTATTCTCTTATATCGTTTCTGCTTCTTTGTCTGCCTTTCTGTGTCTGTTTCTATGTACTAAACAAAGCTCCTAAGTCTCGCAGTCTTATTAGTGTGTATTTGTGAAGTAGGTGTCCAGTGGCACAGTCTTAAGAGAGGTTCAGCTACAGGCCAAATTTAGCCCAAGCCTCTGCCCCTCTGGGGCCACCTGTTAAGATTCAGCAAGCAATCCACAGATGCTGTGCTTATAGTTGCCTCAAAAGGCCACACCAGAAACTGAAGCCAGCTGGCTCCAGTGTGAGTCTAGGCCGTTGCTCAGCAAGGAGCACCTGACTCACTGAGGATGTACTTGAATGTGGCTTGGGTGGGGATGTGAGTTGGGGGAGGCGGGGCTTCAGGGAATCCTCTGGGCGGAGGGATCTCTGTTATCCAGTTTGACGACATCAGGGCTATGGCGGCTCTGAGTCTGGAGCACTGGCAAGGGGGAGGGCTCAACAGGGAACAATGGATCCTGCCAGCACTTCTGTACAGAGTGAGTCTCTCCTGGGCCCTCACTCCTACAATGAGTCCCTGTAAGTCCCTGGCGCCCCCTGCACACAGCTGAATTAGCACTGGTGCTCAGAGCGAGCAGGTCCGTCACCACGAAAATCTGCTCGTGGATGCGGCCCCTTTAAGAGTAGTCTGCCACTGCCGCAGCCTCTGACTCACTCAGCTGCTCTAGACCGGGTAGCCTGGCGTCCTTGCCCCATTCCACCTTCTGCCATTGCAGGGTGCTTTCTTGGATTTCTCCCTAGTTGTATGGCTTGTTCATCTAGATCCCAGGTGATTTTTCCTTGCTGTTGCTCCTTGTTTCTGTCACAACTTTGATTTGGTCCTCAGAGGGATGAACAGAACCTCTATCATTTAAGCCATTTTTTTTTCCTCCAACAGATTTTTAATAAAGGTACAAAAGCAATTCAGTGGAGGAATAGTAGTCTTTTAACAAATGGTGCTGGAGCAACTGGATGTCCATAGGCCAAAAAAATTTATCGATCTAATATTGATATGTTACAGGAAAATTAACTCAAAGTGGATCATAGATTTAAATGTACAATGCAAAACTATAAAATTGTAGAAGAAATCATAGGAGAAAATTCAGGACCTGGGGCTTGGTGAAGACTTCCTGGACATGATACTCTAAGCATGATCCATACGATTTTTAAAAATCAATAAATTATATTTCATCAAAAGTAAAAACATTTGCTTTTCAAAAGATTTTATTAAAAGATAAAAAGCTACACACTGAGAGAAAATGTTTGAAAATTATATACCTCATAAAGAACTTATATCTAGAATTTATAAAGAATTATCAAAGCTGAACAATAAAAACAAACAATCCAATTAGAAAATAGGCAAAAGATATGAAGAAATATTTCACCAAAGAGGGTGTGCAAATGGCAAATAAACATGTGGAAAGATGTTCACCACCACTAGCCATTAAGAAAGTGCAAAGTAAGACCATAATGAGAGACCACTACACACCTATTAGAAGGACTAGAATTTTTTTAAAAAGTGAAAATATCAAACACTGGATGGAGAGAACTAGATCATTCATACATTGCTAGTAGGAATGTAAAATGGTATAACACTGGAAAATAGTGGCAGTTTCTTAAAAACATAAGCCCACACCATATGGCCCAACAATTGCACCTCTGGCCACACACCATATGGCCTAGCAATTGCACCTCTGGTTGCAATTGCACCTGTTTGTACAGGCAAAATCCTGTACACAACTATTCATAGCACTCTTATCTGTAATAGGCCCAAACCAGAAACAACTGAAATGTCAATGATGAGTGAAAAAAAGCCAATCTCAAAAGGTCACATACCGTATGATTCCATTTATGTGACATTCTTGAAATAAAAAAATTATAGAGATAAAGAACAAATTAGTGTTTATTAGAGGCGAGGGATGTTTGGAGAAGAAGACACATGTGACTATAAAGAGATAGTATGAGGGAGATATTTGTGGTGATGGAGTAGTTCTGTATCTTGAATGAGGTGGTGGTTCCATGGATTTATTCACATGATAAAATGGCATAGAATTCTACACATATAATACCAATTTCGATTTCCTAATTTTGATATTCTACTATAGTTACATAAGATATAAGCATTGGGAGAAACTGGGTGAAGGGTGCACTGAAACTATGTACTACCTTTGCAACTTTCTGTGAATCTAAAATTATTTCCAAATAATAAGTGAAAAAGAAATAATTGGTCAAAATTATCCCTTTTAAGTGGTCTTATTTTAGGTGGTCTTATTAGGTGGTCTTGTGGCATAACTTGCAGACTAAGGTCCTAAGGTTCTACATTTCTAACTGGGCTCTATCCAAATTATATTAATATGAAAATAGAAAACTCTTATATAGCACGTAATATACTATAGGTGCTTTACATATATGGCTTACTAATCCTCACCAACCCGTCTGATAAGTACTCTTATTATCCCTATTTTACAAATAGGACTCTGGAGCACAAAGAGATTACTTGGATAGAAAGTGCTGGAGCCAGCATATGGAGCCAAGCGAATTGCATTTGAACTCCAAGCAGATCTTAGAAATATAGCTGACACTTGAACAACGTGGAGGGTAGGGATGCCAATCCCACCTCACCCCCACTCTCTGTCCCCACACAGTTGAAAACCCACTATAACTTTAAATTCTACAGTTGGCCCTTGGCATCTGCGGATTCAACCAACCACATATCAAAAATAGTAGTATTTTCCATCCATGGCTGGGAATGAGAAACACTGTTTTCCGTCCATGGTTGGTTGAATCCTTGGATGTAAAACCCCTGATAAGAAGAGCTGACTGTATTTACTGAAAAAAGTTCACATATAAATGGACACACCCAGTTCGAACCAGTGTTGCTCAAGGTCAACTGTAAAAGGACTTTAAGGAAAATCAAAGCAGGTGTGTCCTTGTCAAAGCTAAGCTATAAATATGAAGTGTTTTACCTGGTCTCTTTTCATTGGTTGTTCCTCACCTGACCTAGAAAATCTGCTTTTGTTTTCACAGTAAGAATGCTGATGAAGATCAGGTCAAAGATAGGCTGGAGCAGCTGAGATGTCACTTTACATGGAAGTTGCTAATCGAAGACACTGAAATTACCGATTTAGAAAACAGGGTTTTCGATGAGATTGAATTCCTAGACATCAAATACAACGTGGGAATTCACAACCTACTGGCCTATATAAAGCACCTGAAAGGCCAAAATAAGGAAGCCCTGGAGAGCTTGAAAGAAGCTGAAACCTTAATCCAGCAAGAACGTACCAACCAATCGAACACAAAAAGGCTGGTTACCTGGGGCAACTATGCCTGGCTGTATTACCACATGGGCAGCCTGGGAGAAGTCCAGATTTATCTGGACAAAGTGGAAAACACTTGCAAGAAGCTTGCCAGTCCCTCCTGCTGTAGACTGGAGTGTCCTGAGATGGACTGTGAGGAAGGATGGGCCTTGCTGAAATGTGGAGGAAAGAATTACGAACGAGCCAAGGCCTGCTTTGAAAAGGCTCTGGAAGCGGACCCTGAAAACCCTGAATTCAACACTGGGTATGCGATCACCATGTTTCGTCTGGATAGCTTTCACAAAGAAACGCAGTTTAAAGAGGCATTTTCTCTACACCCCCTAAAACAGGCCATCAGGCTAAATCCGGAAGATGCATATATTAAGGCTCTCCTTGGCCTGAAGCTTCAGGATGTAGGAGAACAAGCTGAGGGACAAAAGTACATTGAAGAAGCACTGACCAAAATGTCGTCGCAGACCTATGTCTTTCGCTATGCAGCCATGTTTTACCGAAGAAAAGGCTCTGTGGATAAAGCGCTTCAGCTCTTAAAAACTGCTTTGCAGGCAACACCCTCTTCTGCCTTCCTTCATCACCAGATAGGGCTTTGCTACAGATCACAAGTTCGTCAAATAAAGAAAACTGCAAAATGGCAGCCTAGAGGACAGGATAGAGAAAATGTCAATAGAATAACAAGATTAGCCATATTTCATTTTGAATTCACACTGAAACAAAAGCCCACATTTGAGATAGCTTACAAACACCTGGCAGATATGTACATAGAAGCAGGCAACTATGAAAAAGCTGAAGACACTTATCAAAAAGTGTTACGCCTGAAAAAACTTGACAAAGAAGTTCTGCAAGAAATATATTTCTACTATGGCCAATTCCAGGAATTTCAAAGGAAATCTGAAATCGATGCAATTATCTATTATTTAAAAGCAATAAAAATAGAAAACCAGTCATATTCAAGAGATAAAAGTATCAGTTCTTTGGAGAAATTGGTTTTAAGGAAACTTCGGAGAAATGGATCAGACATAGAAAGCTTGAGCATCCTCGGGTTCATCTACAAATTGAAAGGAGAAATGAATGAAGCCTTGGAGTATTACGAGCAGGCCCTAAAGCTGGCTGCTGACTTTGAGAGCTTTGTGTGACATGATTGCTCGGTGCTGAACTAGGGACCACTTTCACAGTTCATTTGATTTTAGGTTAACATGTACAACTGATCTTTTTGCTTACTGCTTTCGGAAACATATTATGTAAATCACTGTGATGATGTAATTTTTGAACAATTACTCAAACCTGATAATATATTAGTTGTATTCAGAAAATAGTGAAGTAGAATAGATATGTCTGTGTGTGTGAGGGAGAGGAAGAGAGAAACCATTTCTCTGTGAATGTTATATAGTAGAAAGAACAGTTTGTTAAGTAGATTTGTAGCAAATAAAGTACTGCGCTTACATAAAATAAATTGTCCAATTCATTCATTTAGTCAACAAATAGTTTTCAGTGCTAGATATCAAAAATAGTATGGTGATATAAAGAAATTTCTTTTCCTCCACCCATCTTAGGTTTATAGACCGGAGCCCCATAAATTGGACTAACAAAAGACAAATTAACCAGAGATAAACAGACAAAAGTTCATTAACGTGTACATCTCACATAGACATGAGAGTACCCAGTGATGAGTACCTCAAAGGGGTGGTTAGAACTTGGGCTTATATAGATAGCATCTTAACAAATGAATGATACATTTTTAGAGAAGTGATAAAAGGAAAAGAACCTTGAGTTTCTAAGAAGGCAAATTGTAGAAAGGTAAATTATGGAGAAAGCTAATGGAAGATAACTGCTAGTTACTAAAATTTATTACATAGATTCCTTTAGTAGTGACTCTGTGAGATAAAGGCCTGGAGTTATCTCAGATGATTAACTCTGTCTTTTCTGGAAGAGAAAGGAGAGGGGACACCTTCACAAATTTATGTCCTGCATTAGGTAGATAGGAGGATGGCAGACAGCCTTTCTTATATCTGCTTCTTTTCGACTGCCTTCAGCTCAAAGTAATTCTTATGCCAATGTAGCATACCTGGGGGTGGCATATTCTGCTTCCCTTCAATGAAAGAAGTAGACATTTTCTCCAAACCTCATGCGCTTTAACAGTCTACTGAGAGAGACAGACCGTAAAACGAATACTCAATTAAAATTCTGCTTTCTCCATGAAGATTTTTGAAATTTAATTCATTGTCAATTGTTCCAAGCAGTTCTCTTGTTTTGTGCCAGTTTATTTGAAGCGCTATTTATTCAGTCATTTGCTAGTATTGATCTAGTTAAATCAAGAAATGTGAAACAGATACTAAATGAAAGGAGAGACCATCTGTGGCAATCACCTTTGATTATGCCATTTCATTAAAAGGCAATGAACAATAAATAATACTTTAAAAAGAAAAAAAGCAATGTTATTTTTTGTTTTTTAATGTATATTTGGGGGAGGATATATTAATTTTCTATTGCGGTTGGAACAAATTATCACAAACTTGGTGCCTGAAAAACACAGACTTATTATCTTACAGTTCTATAGGTTGGAAGTCTGAAATTGTTTTCATTGGACAAAAATTAAGGTGTTGGCACAGCCATAATTCCTCCGGAAACTCTAGGGCATAATCTTTTTGTACCTTAACCAGCTTCTAAGATCCCTCCATTTCTTGGGGGACCTCTAATCCATAAGGATAGAAATCTCCAAGGAATTTTCAGAAATATTTGGCTGGGCTTTGAATTGCTACTACATTTTTATAGGAATTGAAACAAGCAAAATTTGTATCATTGAGGGGCAAGCATAAGAATTACATAGAACAATGGTCCCCAACCTTTTTGGCACCAGGGACCAGTGCTCCTATGAGAATCTAATGCCTGATGATCTGAGGTGGAGCTGAGGCGGTGATGCTAGTGCTGGGGAGCGGCTGCAAATACAGATGAAGATTCACTCACCTGCCGCTCACCTTCTGCTGTGCAGTCCAGTTCCTAACAGGTCCACTGGTACTGGTCCATGGTCCCAGGGATTGGGGACCCCTGACATATAAGCAATCTTCTTAACTTTCTTATCACTAAAACAAGAGATTCGATTTCACAAAAACAATACCTTAAAGAATTTGTTTGGGAGAGGAGGCTGTGTGGTGCTAAATAAGTCAAACCACTGCCACCTCTCCTAGAGTCAGAAATATTAAAAGTAAATAATGTTGGATTGGTTGATTCTCTATCAGGCAACTCTTCCCAGGTATTGCTGTACATCATTGGCCCCCAGAAAGCAGAGTTCGTTAATGCAAACAAAGTCTCTGCATTATGTAATGAATTCGTGTGATATGTGTTTGACAATCTACAGACATCACGGTTACTTACTATTGCTTATGACCGAACACCATTTCTCTGTCCCATTCTTCCCAACTATGAAAGAGATCCCTACACTTCCCAGAGCCCAGTAAAATTAAAGTGTAGGATAGCCTCGATATTTGCAGAGAAAAACAACAAGCAGCAAATCCAGAAAAATAGATGCTGTTTGGTATGGAAAAAACTACTGCCAAACTTGCTTATGAATATCTCCAGGCATTATTAAGAGGTCTCTTTAAATTGACAGCTGAATTTCAGGAGCTTGTTACTCCCATGTAAATGACTGACAGAACCTCAGCTGGTGTCCTTATTTAGAGTTACTGACACTCAAGAATTTCTCTAAATGCCCAGGCATCAGGCTGAGCCATAGCTCCTGCTATTCTCTACTATGATAGGTGTCCCAGCCCAGGTCTTTGAAAATTGCTGTCTACACATGACTGGAGGCTCCAGCTCCTTGGGGATCACCATGGCCACCAGTGTCTCCATTCTCATGATGATGCTAGAGGTGAAACTGTGTTGGGACTCAGGGCCTCCATTTTATATCCTGCCCACCTTAGATTACCCACCCTCAGCGTGTCCACAGCTCTGTATCTTATCCCCAGCCAGATCAAATGTGATACAGACACCTCCACTGTAGAGTCCCATGCTGAAAGGAGTATGCCTTCTCTGACATTCAACTGAGAATTTTCAACTGAGGTGGGGGGACAGTAAGAGGGAAGGGAAGGATTTAGTACCTCAGGGCAAAAAGAAGTTGCATTTGGCAAAATCCAGAGACAATTTGGGTTCACAACTGCAGGGTGCTACTGACATCTAGTGGGTATAAGCAAGGAAGCTGCATAAACATCCTCAATGCACAGGACAGCTTTCCACAACAAAGAATTACTCAGCTCAAGTGTCAGTGGTGCCAAGGCTAAGAAACTCTGACTTACACCCATCTCCTGGAAGAGTTATTGAAAAAATGAGTGTTTATTCTGAAAACTACCTCAAGGAGTACCGACCTATTACCTAAGTTTCAGTTTGCCAAGCAGTTCTGTTGCTATGTTTCACTATCTCTTTCTCTAGTTGCTGTGTTTTACATGTTGATAAGAAGAAATTAAAAAGACAATACACACTATTGAATTTCCCAAGAATCCACCCAATTCAGTAGTCTATGAAAAAAAGATTGATATTCAAATTCCATTCGGTAATTTCAGCATGTTCAATACCCACTTGACAGGTCTTGGTTTCTTCTCGATCTTGAAAATGTCTTTTCCTTTCAAATTTTTATAGCTTGCTTTGTCTTTCTGAATTTGAATTTCTAAACAATATAAAGTAGATAACCAGGTTTTTTCCCCTTTGATTTTTACTATGGATTTCTTGTCATTCATCTAATCCTTACTAAGCAGAGACTACCTTTTGGCCCAGATACAGCTAAGAGAAAGGAAGGGAAAGAAGTGGGAACTAGGAAGAAAAAACCTGATCAAGGCACTGGAAATTTCTTTCAAATATTGGAGCTCCATTAAATTTTTCTTTGGTAAGAAGGAAATTCAGAGCTTATTTTACCACTCAAACTATTCAGTACCTTTTCTAAAACGTGGTTTCCTACCTAAGATAAATATTACAGTTGCCTATAGGCAACCACACACACATTGTCTCTCTGATCTCATGTCTTAAAACTTTTCCCTGCTCTCTCCACTCCAACCAGAGTCAGGTCAACTATGCTCCTACCTCCAGGCCTGTATGCGTACTGTTTCCTCTGCCTAACACACACTTTCTTAGCCTCGAACCCACTCTTTCACCCCCTTCAGATCTTTGCTCAATTGACACTTTCTCAGTGACACTTTCTTCACTAACATATTTATAATAGTGAAACGCCTTGTATTCCCTCTCTCTATGCTTTTTCTCCATAGCACCATCTGACATATGTTTTATTTGTTCTTTATTATCTTATGCACTAGAAATTAACTGCACAAGGTAGATTCCTTGTCTGTTTAACTCATTGTTATTATTAACAGCGCATGAACAATGTGTGGCTCTTAGCAATTGTTTAATGAAATTTGTTGAATGAATGAAGTCGAATGAGACAAAAATTTTAGTGTATCAATATTGCCATTTTCTGCTTAGATTCCCAGTACCACCCTCATCTTTATCCGAATCTTATTACAGAAAGCAGTTGGCAAGGGCACGGAAAGCAAACATTCTGTAACAATTTTGAATGTATGACCTCAAAGAGGGAGTATAAACCTCTTTACAAAGTTATTCGGCAGTATCTACTAAAATTTAAAATGTGTATGCATTTTGATCCCAAAATGTCTCTAAATTTACCCTACGTAAATAATGGCACAGGTTCACATCATTGTAGTCTTGTTAATTGAATTAAGACTGGAAGCAGGTACTTCAGTTTTAGCTTAGGGTGCACAAAGCTGGAAAGAATATCACTGCCACCCTTACGACAAAAATAACGCTGAAAAATAACGCTCCTGTCATCTATTTAAAAAAAGAAAAGAAAGAAAAGGCTAATCGAGCTGCATATGTTTTATCTGTTCTTTATTATCTTATGCACTAGAAATTAACTCCACAAGGTAGATTCCTTGTCTGTTTAACTCATTGTTATTATTAACAGCGCATGAACAATGTGTGGCTCTTAGCAATTGTTTAATGAAATTTGTTGAATGAATGAAGTCGAATGAGACAAAAATTTTAGTGTATCAATATTGCCATTTTCTGCTTAGATTCCCAGTACCACCCTCATCTTTATCCGAATCTTATTACAGAAAGCAGTTGGCAAGGGCACGGAAAGCAAACATTCTGTAACAATTTTGAATGTATGACCTCAAAGAGGGAGTATAAACCTCTTTACAAAGTTATTCGGCAGTATCTACTAAAATTTAAAATGTGTATGCATTTTGATCCCAAAATGTCTCTAAATTTACCCTACGTAAATAATGGCACAGGTTCACATCATTGTAGTCTTGTTAATTGAATTAAGACTGGAAGCAGGTACTTCAGTTTTAGCTTAGGGTGCACAAAGCTGGAAAGAATATCACTGCCACCCTTACGACAAAAATAACGCTGAAAAATAACGCTCCTGTCATCTATTTAAAAAAAGAAAAGAAAGAAAAGGCTAATCGAGCTGCATATGTTTTATCTGTTCTTTATTATCTTATGCACTAGAAATTAACTCCACAAGGTAGATTCCTTGTCTGTTTAACTCATTGTTTAACTCAGAGAGACCAACATCCAAAGGTCCAGTCGCAAATTCAACTCTAAACGACCTTGCGCTCCGCAAACGTCTCGCCGCGGCCTCTAAATGTGGCGCGGGGGAGAGAGAGGCTCCTCACTCATCCCTTCTATAAGTTTCCGTTTCCTGGAGCTGGACTTTACCTAGGCCAGAATCAGATTCACTTCTCAGTTTCCTTTTCCCGCTCCGGTCCTGTCTAACAAAGACAAGCGCCTTTGCACCACCTAGCGGGGCAGACGCCTCGCGGGAAGCGCGCGCCCGCCCGCCTGACCCCCTGCCCACGCGCACGCGCACACGCACGCGCACGCACGTGCCGCGCGCCCAGCCGCTCAGCAGCACGGGATCCCGCTCCTGAGAAAGCCCGAGGGGACTTGCCGCCTCCCTGGAAGAGTCGCAGAACCCATCCACCATGAGGTAAGGGGTTTTCCCGTTTCTCCATCCAAATTCTGCGTAGGCCTTTGTTTCCAACTGGTGTTTTTCTTTTATTCCGTTTCTAACGCGGCGCTACGGCCCTTTAAGAGGCCGAGCCCCCCTCGTCCTACACCCAGGCATCTGGCTTGGGACGCTCCCCGGGATCCCTTTCCAGGTCCTGGGCGTCTGAAATCGGGCCTATTGAGGAGCTCGTTCGAGCAGACCCTTCAGCGGAGTGCTGACCCTCCCCCCCGGGCGTCTGCGGTCGGGCCTGTCAGGCGGTGTGGCCAGGCGACGCGCCCTGGAAGCTTGACCTCTCTCTGCGGCTTCTCGGCCGCCGCAGTGGTGACTGTGCTTAGTTGGCGGCCGCCCCCAAGACCATTCTGCGCAGCCTCTACGTGGCACGGTCCACCGCTTTCCTCTGCTTCCCAAGCCTTTCAGCTGCCATTCTCATTTGGGCAGATGCGATTTGGTCGCAGCTCCAAGCGGCACATTTGTCTCCTACTGCCATTTTGCCTCTCTGATTTCTGGGTCTGAATTCTTCCTTTTCTGGGAGCTACCTTTGAACCACGAACAGATTGTTATTGTTCCACCCAATTCACTATTTTATCAGGATTTCTTTATCTGTCTTCTTTACTAATTTTATGGTGATGGTGTCTTTTTCTCACCTTTTTTTGTATCCCCAGGGGTTAGCACACTGCCCTGTATGTAGTTAGTGAATCATTTGCGTTCAATAAGTTGAAGAGTGAGAGGTTAAGATCTTGGACTCCTGAAGCATATAACCCTTTGTTCTCCTAGTTGGGTGACTCAAAGAAAAGTTTCTTAAACTCTGAGTTTTTCTCATCTGTAAAGATTAATGCTATCCATCTCTTAGGACTGTGGAACGGATTAATTGACTGCTTAGCACATATTGCAAATGTTGGCTATCATGAGAACTAAAAAAAAAAGTTACTAATTTCTAACATTTGTGAGAAGGGAGGAAGGTATCAGGAGGGCCTGGAAAAACAAAGAGGAAAAGAGGGGTGCACTGTATGTGTATGTGCAGAATGGGGTGGACCCCATTGGGGACTTACTCCCAAGGACATTGAAAGACTGATTCTTCCTAGAAAAAAAAAATTACTTAAAGATAAATGTTGCGTTTTCAAACATAACAACCTCTCTCTGCCAGCTTCCCAGAGACAAAGTTAAAACATTAAGTAGACAAAGTTTAAAAAGTAAAACTTCTCATGGCCTTCCAGTTGTGTGTGAATTTCAGAGTCTGAACAAAGCACTTCAGTGCCTGACCGAAGGTCCCTTTGAGATCTCACAACCACATTCATATCCAAGGCAGCCCTCCTCCTCGTCTCTGGGCGTTTAGCTGGTAGAAACCTTCAGGACAGAAGCCAATGTTCATTTTACTCTATGCATGGACAGGGGGCTGGTAAGCTGGTATGGTGGTGGATCTGGGCAGGCTGGTAAGGGCATGGCAAATTGTGCCCATGATTTTGATGTAGTTACACCAGAGAAAGGAACAACTACCAAAAGACAATCATACCAGATTTCCCAGTGAGGACTACAGGAAACAGTTCAAAACCTATTTTCAAAATCCAAACATGGGGCCAAGCTATAAAGACAAGTGAGATAGGAAAGACCAAAGCGAGAAAAAGTTTGGAGCCTTTTAGCAGGAAGGGAAGAACCAGC